AAAATTTTATTTGAATAAAATTTTGACTTAGCAAAAGCAGAAACAAAATCGGTTTGAATTCAAGTTACTTTTTTCATTAAAGCAATACTTTTCATTATGCTTCGTTCGTTTTTTATAAAATGCGTAATTAAATTTTTTCATATAATTTTCTTTATACTCGCGTTGCCCCTTTTACACACTTTATAAACCTTACAACCCATTGAATTATTTCTTAGTATTTCGCTTTTGTTATTATTTTGAGGATTATTTGATTATTTGACTGATTAATTGTTTCTCTTTTTTAGCAACAGCTTCCTACTTCTTCCTCGTAATAACGATTGATTTTTGATTTTACTCTGCTTCTCTCTGTAGTTTTACATTTAAATGTTATTAAACTTTTACTTCATATTACACTTAAAAACTTTTTCACTTTTCTAACAACCAAAGCAAAATTAAAAAACAAAAGAATTCTCAATTTTCGCCAAAAATGATTTCCTTTGCGAAAATCTCGACACCGACTACAGAAACACCGACGACGAAAGTCAAAAACAATTTGAAGAAATAAAGAATTTCAATATTTCTTTGTTTATTTTTTTTCTCAGACAGTGTTGACAGTTGTTTCTCTATTAATTTACTGCTGTCAGTTGATGAAACAGTAGTAGTAGAATACTGCATAGTTGTATTTTAAAGTCACAAAAAATAAATGAAATTTATTTTAAGAAATGACATTAACTTAGCGTCTACACTGGCAAGATTTTTATTATCGAGTTTAATACCAGATATATTTTTTTCACTTGAATACTCAAATGGTACACCTTCTCGTTGCTTAATAAAAACTTGGCATCACCGCGTAAATTAGTGAAAATTTGTTGATAAATGAATGTAGTGTATGTAAATACAAAAATACCTGTAGATAATAGGTCTGTTCCACGAGCTACTCATAATAAAACTCAAGTAAAATTCAAGTACCAACTGAGAGCGTAACACAAATAAAGTTCCAAATTACGCACAGATTTTCACGGAACAGCTTTGTGTGAAATCTGGTGAGAATATCATTGTCGCGCAAATAAACAATACAAGAATTTAAATTTAAACTCAAACCAAAACAGCTGATTCACACATCAACATAAATTTTACTTAAAATTGAATGTACGAGTAAAGTCTGTGTAGCATTTTCAAATTTCGACAGGGATGTTACGCTCTCTCAGATGCTCTCATTTACACAGTGTTATACGGCATTTACACTGGTCGAAAATAGCTCATTTTGGTCAAAAATCAAAAATGAGAAGCGAATGGCTCATTCTTGCATACAACATTTCAAGTCCGCATTCGATCCATTTCATCACATTCTGTATGAATGCATCCCTAAGACGTTCGAATGCGTTCCAAATACAAAGGAGTACATTGAACATAGCCTAAATAAGAGCTCTTCTTGGCAATTTGACAGTTTGAGAAAGCTGTTTTTGACATATTTACAAAAAAAATAAACAAATGTTTGATGGTTACATTTTTTTGACAACGATACACCTCTTCTACTTCCCAAAAAGTATTTAATCGAAATTAAAAATATGTTTTCAGTATATATTTTAAGGTTTGAAGGTATATTTAACCTTCATGCAACATTTTTTTGGCACAGGCAAAAATCATAACAATAGGCAAGTTGAAAAACCAACTGTTTGAAATGAGAACGAATTACAACGAATGAAAACACTTTTGAATGTCTCATTCAAAATGAATCATTTTCGGCCAATGTAAACATCATATTACTCAATGTTACTGCGAGTAGCTCATGGAACAGATCTAATTTTATAAAAAAGGTTTTATCATATAAATATTTATTTTATTTTTATATCATTTTATATTGTATTTGAGTTTATATAAAACTAAACACTTTTTTAAGCTTTATCCATGATAACGCAAAAAAATAGTGAAATAAGGATAATGCAAAGAGAGCGGCGTATTGACCAAATGTTTGAAATATTTGATAACTCGAGATCTTACGAAGGCAATCAAAATAGTCAATAAATTCGTTTATATCACTAGTTAAGGCTAAATGAGCAGCATTTAACACTGTTTTATTTTTCTTTTCTTTTTTAAATACTTATATATTTATTTATTGTAGCTTTTCTTACAATGAGACTAACAATAATTTTTATATTTCTTGATAATACCTTATAACTTTTTGCTTTTATTACAACGATTGTGTTTTGTATTTATTCATACCGTATATTCTGCATTTATAATACAGAAATAATAAATTCTTTAATAAATAATTAATGTATGGCTTTCTCACTATTACTAATCTGTCAGTCATTTTCACAAATTTTATTTAAAAAATTAAGTTTTTAAAATATTTAAATTTACTCATTAAGGCCGTATGCGAGTTCGAGTATATTGAGGTAAAGTAAATTGAAATTTACTAGGGATTTTTTGCACTGCACTTATGTAAATATTTATTTATTTATTGCACTTATTTACTATTATTGGTTAAAAGTTTTCAAATTTATTAATATAGTTATTAAACATCTTAGAAAATATTTACAATGGTAACACCTAATTTACCTTATTTTTATCTAATTTACTCTACTTGAAATTCTGGTAAATACCAACATTCTCTGTCATACTGACATAATTTACTATATCCCTCAATTTACTATCAATTTACTCGAATTCGCACACGGACTACCTCTCAACGGTTATAAATAATAAATAAACTCCTTTGTCACCTGACTGGAGTATTCCATTTTTTTCCATAATGATTGACAATAGATCATTTTTAGGATTTATCACCAGTATAATGCGTGTGGCAAACTCGTTAAGTAGTTTCAGGAAAGTGGGTTTATTTTTGCTAATTTTGTTTTTACTTTGTATGTTAATTCTTAAGCGACACGTGATCTATACTAATAATTAAAAATAATAAATAGTTACTTAAGATTTACTCTTTTGCATTATTGTACGCAAAAAGTAATAATGAAAGTGAGTTGGAGCCAACATTTTATGTTGTACAAAACAGGTAAAATAAAAGTAAATTGGAAAAGCAGCTGACACATTATTTTATATATTCATATTAGAAATATAAATTTGAAAATGATATCTGATTTTGATACGAATTTTGTTACACTATTAGAAAAGCGATAAATATTATGAATAAAAAAATATGCAGAACAGTTAACTTCACTATTTTTAGTTAAAATTATTTTTTTATTTTTGGGTAATTTTAGAAGCGGTAAATAAAATTACTTTCATTAGGTCTGTTCCATAAGCTACTCCTAGCAACATTGAGTAACACTGTGTATACACAAGTGCGTTCTACCAGCAAATTTTCCACTAAATGAGAGCATCTGAGAGAGCCTAACACGCCTAACAAAATTTGAAAATGATACACAGACTCTGCTCGTGCATTTAATTTCAAGTAAAATTTGTGTTGATGTGTGAATCAGCTGTTTTGGTTTGAAATTAAATTTTTGTATTGTTTATTTGCGCGGCACTGGTATTCTCACCAGATTTTACACAATGCTGTTCCGTGAAGATCTATGTAAAGAGCATAATTTGGAACTTTATTTGTGTTACGCTCTCAGTTTGCACTTTACTTAAGTTTTACTTGAGTTTTACTATGAGTACCTCGTTAAACAGACCTATTTACACTTTCATTTATTTCACTAGATCTTTTTAAAAATCTACTAAAGTTGAAAGTAAGAATTCAATTATACTTTCTTTCTTAAAACATTAGTTTACTCATAAATTAGCTAAACTTTTATATGTAAGTAAATCTACAAAGTTGAACATTTTCAATTCTATTTACTATTTTCTTTGAATATTTATTTTCTTTGAATAGTTATAAACCGCATAATTATATTATGTGCGTAATATTCTAGTTGTTATTGAAAGCATTAGTTCTAATCAACTCTTTTTCGATCAACTAAGACTGAAATAAATTTTAGTCAGTACAAAATTACTGTTTACTCTCATAAATTCTTCTTACTAGTTTTAAATATATTCAAATAAATATATTCAAATAATTTTTGCATTTAAATTTTACTTGATGTATGGGAAATAGTTGTATTATTAAAGTGTAATTGTAATTTGAGATAAAAATAATATTATATGATATAATCATATAATTAATTATTAAATACGATTATTTAGTGTTTAAATACTTATGTGAAAAATATATATAATATAAAAAATTGAAACATGGTGTAATTGTATATTGTTTCTTTTTTAATTTTGTATGACTTTTTTCTCATATCGAATTAATATAATTTAATCAAACTGTATATCTTAATTTTATACATGTATTCGTTCATATATACTATATACAGACAGCCAAATTTCCTTAATTTCATAAAAATAGAATTAAGTTAATTTTGAAAGTGTTCAAACTGCCCTAAATTAATGAAAGCATATGTTTTCTATTTACAAATCGAATGTTACATGCTCCAAACACCACTTGCTAAATCTTAAAAATTGATTATTATAACTATAAAGAATGGTATTCAGTAGTTTTATTAGCTTTAGTGGATTTTAGGTATGTTAATTATAATTTTTCTATTTATCTTTCTATATATAATTTTACAATTTGTACTACTTTAAAAATATTTTCCATGTGTCATCAAAGCCAACTGTCACTGACATTTATTTTAAAAAAAATTTCACTTTTTTGTTATCTCAACTTTATCTTTTGCTTAAAAATTATCTTTCGGATAGTTGCATTTGAAATATCCCTTAATTTTAGGCTTCATCTTCGTTTCAACGAAGCTGAATTTTGTATGGAAAATAATAACTTAATTTCGCTGAAACGAAGATAAAATTAAGATTTTTGTGATATTAAAGTGTGTTTGAACATTGTATTATATACACCAAATAATAAAAATTACAAAAATCTAGAATATAATATAATATTTAATGAATATTTTGTGTATTAATTTAATCACAAATACTTTTTAAAGTATGACAGATACGTAAAAAATTTGTTTATAAGAATTAAGAAAAATTCTTAAAAAAACATTGTGCTATATATATAAACAATAACATATAATCAAAAAAAATAAGCCGAACTCAACTGTGTTCACGGAAATTTATGTGTAATAAAATTGTTGAATATATTCAAGAACTTATTAAAAATTATATTGAAACTTGACAACATTGCACATTCGGCAAGTTCAACTTAACGAAGAAATGAAAGTCAATGATAACCGCAGTGAACACATACATTCCTAAAGTTGAGTTTGCTGGAAAAATTGCGACTATTTGGAGTTATTGTTAAGGTTTTTACTTAAAATTAATTATAATAATTTAAAAAATGGTATGTTCATTAAGTGCAATTTTTAATAAAGTTAAATAAAATACTTTCTTGTTTACAGGCAAATTACTCAGAAGATCAATTGGCTGGTAAGTTGGCATCAAACAAAAATCTGAAAGCAATAAAAATATGAAATTAGTTAAAAAATTCTGAAAACGTTGAATTAGTGATATTTATAATAGATCATTATGAGTGTCTCCTAAAGAATTCAAATTATTCAGTGACTCAAAGATATTGTTGATTTTTTGGCTTTGTTGTCATTTATGACTCATTAAAATGCACACCCAAAAACGGTAAAAACCAACACAAGCAACGATCGTACGAATGCTGGTTAATCAAACAAAATGTGTCGAGAATTAAAAAGAAATAAAATTTATTGCTTTGCTTGTAAATAAGAATTCATATAAATTTAGAGAATCTATATAATAATTTTGTTATGTTCTGATGGTTTTCGATTCAATGTCTGTACTCAAGTGTTTTGCAATTGTCGATTGATTCAAAACTTATACCAAATCGTTGCATGCAACTTGTGGAATGGAATTTCCATTTAAGGCATAAATTAATAAACAACTCGTATTCTATTATGGAATATGCAACAAAGTCTCTATACAATTTTTTAAAATTTTATTTTTCGTCTTATCTCACTGCATACTTTATAAAAAGCACTTACGCAATGTCAAAACTTTACCGAGATAATTTTATACTCCTTAGATACGCCGGTAATCAGTTCAATAGATTGCTGGTCAAATGTGACTGATTTCTACTAATAAAACTTTGTGTTGATAAAACAAAAGTTTGACGTACAAATACCTTATAAAGTTGCTAAGGTTTAATCTCTCTTAATTTTACAAATATTATTAAAAAACTGTTGACTTATTTAAGTAAATATAGTTACACTTATTGATTGTGTCTTAAGTGATGCATACTCCTTAATGAAGCACATTTCCAAATTTGAATTTAGTAGAAATCTCAAAAAATATTTGGATTGGCAAATATGGATATCATTCTATCATTCTTATGGTATCATTCTTATGGTAGGTTTACTTACATGTCACTGTAAACTAGAGAACCATGCTAGAAGATTAGGTCATGCACGGCGACGACTCAATACACTAGGAGCCCCCTTTCTTCAGGATCTTAACGAATTACAGAATCTGAGACTTAATAGCATTTTAGGCTCCGCCAAATGTTCTAAGTGGTTTTAAGCCCTGAATTTTTCCTATATATACGGTAACACAATGAGCCAATAGGCCTAAGTGGATCCAATAGAGATCGCCGGTATAACCTAACCTAATTTATTTACTAATATATTAAAATATATTGCTGTGTTAAGCCGGTGATATTGCTTTTTTGATATTTCATAATTAATAAAAAGGTAGTTAGTGATCGCTAAGTGGAAAAGGAACAGCACTGAATAGAATATCTGCCAGAAATTTACGTTAAAAATAGCATTTTAATGCAACAGCTTTGTCCTGGGATATAAATCCGAACAAACTGCAAAGTTTGACAGAGCATATAAAGTGCAACAAAGCAGGCAGTTCTGCAAATTCTTACAACAAAGAGCATTAAAAAAACAAATATGTTTAAAGTGATACGAGCTCAAAATCCCTGGTCGATATCATTAACTATTCTACCATTTTAGTATCTACAATTATTCGTATACTCTATTGTTGTTGTCGTTTTTGTAACCTGCTGAGACCTGCTTGTGAAACTCCTTTAGGGGGTGTTGAACGGTATTTGGTCGTCGTTGACGACGAGTGACTCCAGGACGTAGACTGTTCGTGCAACCCGTGTACGCTATTAATTTCCTTAAACATTTTGAGTTTGATAAATAGTAATAATTTTAACGAAAATATTGGCACCAATAATCTCGCTACATTGATTAAATAATGTAGAAATTGTTTAAAATACTTTCTAAGATCTCTCTATGAGAGCATCACAAGCTAATCAAAGGTCGTGAACATTTGAATTCGTTTAATATGAATACTTGTACCATAACGCTTTAAGCATATGGTGTGGTATAGATAAGGTGATAAAATGGTGTCTAGAATGTTTATGCAAAAAAAAAAATTACTAAAACCATAAGTTCGAAGTCTAAGATAAGATAGACGTTATAAGAACATACAGCGCAAAGTCTGTTAAAAATTCCAAGTTGAGATCTTGTATTATTATATCTCAAAATGATTTAATTAAGTTATTTTTAGTATTGATTTTGAATGTAGTATATTTCTTATCTCAAATTTTTTGATGAGAGAAAATACTCGCATACATCGCATACATCATTATTGCTTAAGGTTGGGGGAACCAGAAGAAAAAGATAAAACCATCTCACTTGAAATGAATTTTGGGCTTTGTTATTTTCAATGTCTGATTAATTAAATAAGTCGTGATACGGATTTTTTTCTTTTGTTTCTAACATTTTTCAAGATTTTCCAACCAAAATCTTCACACTTCATTACAATTTTCACTTCTTAATCTCTATATCGTATAAAGATCATCAAATCAAACTTCGGAAAGATCATATTGGCAAGTTATAGTATAGAATATTTTCAATTTGAACTGTTGGATTGATTTATTTTGAATTGTTTTGGACTAAAACAGATCGAACCTGTTTTAATAATTTAAAATCTATATATGGTATTAAACTGAAGTGGGTCTCATATAATGATCAATGAAAGTTTTTATTTTTCAGAACCCCATTCTTATTTCATTACATTATTTCATTAATAAAACTTACCCATTTTAGAAATATTCTATTGAAGATATATGTACATATAAGGCTTCCTGAGATGAAATGGGGGTTCTTACACAGCTCTTTTAATTTTTGTAATTAAACCAATATTATTTCAAATAAAAATTATAAAATAATACATCCCACAAACCCAAAATAAGCAATCTGTTGTTGAGGATTATTCCATACCTAAAGCTGCTGACTGTGATTTTCATTCGAGTTGCTAAGTTCCAAAACCTCAGCGCTGACCCAAATTTAGTCTCGTTTTTGTCGACATTGCTAAATTACGTATAAATTTTATTAAATTTTCTATTTTTTTGTTAAAAAGACGTTTTTACCTTTTAAGGCAGTAATTTTGTGCCGAGATATTGTTTATACAGGGTGTACATTGTGTTTTGTTTGACTATCTGAATCATTTTTACAAATGTTTATATTATAATTTAATTAAATTAAAATAGAGAATTATTTGACTTTTAGATACTTTTTACCGATTTTTTATTTATTGTTTTTTTATGCACATTGACAGTTTCCTCCTTCCACCCTATGCAGTTCAATTGCATAGAAAACCACTTGTATTTACACATGTCGATGTGTGCCTGGTCGTAGACTAGAATTTTAATGATTTAGTCGATTTCTGCAACGATATTAGCGCTGTTGTTTGCCAGCAAATCTAGAGAAAACGTTTATTTTGTAAAAAAAAATGTACATGTACGAACCGCCAAGCAAAAATGCATTTACCACATTAGAAGGTTGACGTTTCAAACTGCGAGAAATAAAATATTTTATATTTTATTTGCTTTTGTTACAGAATATTTATTGATTTTATTTAATTTTGTTTTAACATTTTTTTTATTGCTTTTGCTTCTTCTTTACAGAATTCCAAGAAGCCTTCAATTTGTTCGACAACAGAGGAGATGGCAAAATTCAATTGAGCCAGGTTGGTGAATGTTTACGTGCCTTGGGCCAGAATCCCACTGAGTCAGATGTTAAGAAATGCACTCATCAGTTGAAGCCTGATGAACGTATCTCATTCGAGGTGTTTCTTCCCATTTACCAAGCTATTTCAAAGGCGCGCTCTGGCGACACTGCTGATGATTTCATCGAAGGTCTCCGCCATTTCGATAAGGATGCAAGTGGTTTAATTTCAACCGCTGAGCTGAGACATTTGCTAACTACTTTGGGTGAGAAATTAACGGATGAAGAAGTGGAGCAATTGTTGGTTAATCAAGAAGATTCACAAGGAAATGTCAACTATGAAGAATTTGTACGCATGGTTATGAACGGTTAAGAAATTTCTACATACTAGACATTTGCGTTCATATTAAGAATTGCAAAAATTCCAAATTAAAAAGTTTTCAATATTATTTATAATAAAAATTAAAGTATTTCCATTATCCACTATTAATATTTTTTATATACATATGTAGTCACTACTAGTACTCGTACTTATTTGTTTTGAGAAAAAGTAAATACTTGTTTTTAAATTTAACAAATAATTTATATATTTGAAACATATAAAAATAAATACTAAGTAATTCATTCCTTCAGGGAAAAAAATATTTTTTTAATATTGCCAAATAAAAATATTTTATGTACTGATTTAAAGGCTTTATTATCAAAATAAACTTAATGTTATAAGTGACTTTGGAAAGGCTTCCTCCGTTTTACTCGCACGCAACGCATTGTTTTAGTTTATATATTTGTGCGATCGTATTTGGTAAGTAGTTTGTCTAAAAATCCCAGCTCCAATCGTGTTTCAAGCTTAATTCGCTCATATCATGTGAAGCAGCTAAGCTGTGATCTGAAAAAATCAGCGACTCACATAAATAAAAAGGATTTACTTATAATACTTTCATTGCTCCAGTACCTCTTAGACCATCATAGTCAGTTACCTCCATACCAAAACGCTTCAATTGATCCAAAATGCTCGTGTGACGACAGTGCTTAAAGAAAGAGTGATTCAATAATTGCAGCGCAGACCATCGGTTTGCTGGTCGCTTTTCCATACAAATTTCTGTGAACTGATGAAACTCATCAGAAAATGCTCGTTGACAATAGATTTGTTGTGCTTGTGCTGTTATTAATGATTCTGCACTTTGGTTATCGCCTGTAATGTCTACAATTAAAAAATAATATTAAACTAGTAATTATATTGCAAGTGGTAGCTGGCCTCATAATAAAGATGCGACTCACTCCGGCACTGAAAGTGTGTACATTGTGATGTCATTGCTTAATGTATTGATTGACTCGCAGAGGATATTTACAGTTATAGTAAAATAAATCACGAACAGTTATCACTTCTACAATGTAGGCAATTATACTGTATTTTCATCGCAGGAGCAATGAATAGTGCATATCTCTGCGAGTTTATCAAAAATTATAAATTTAAAGTATTAAATTTACCAATGATTTCTTCTGTTGCTGGACATGTTGAGCGGTCTAGTAACGTTGGTACATTGCCACGTATCTTTTCTGTGAACATAAATGTTGGCTGTGCATCAGCAAATGGTTCAATGCCATTGGCCAGCTCACAACAAGTTACACCAATCGAATAAATATCGGATTTTTCTGTATAACCAATAACATTTTGTTCTAATACTTCTGGAGCTAGCCAATTTAGGCTGCGTGCACTTTGTGGCGCCAACTGATGTAACGCACTTATACGTTCACCATGCTTTATAAAACTACTGCATTCTCGAAATCCCGATAATACCGCCTTTGTTTGACTCAATAATATATGGCTAGCACGTATAGATCTGTGTATATAGCTACGTCTATGCATATATTCTAGACCAGACAGTACATCTCGCATTATAAGTGCCACAAATACTTCCGGAAAGCCTGTAATTAACAATCAATTAGATTTTAATACAATTTATGTTAAGTTTACCTTTAAAAGCAACTTTAAGTTTACCTGTTCTAAAGCAGTTTCTTAGTGTATCCTTGCAACTGCCAAAACACATTAATGGTGAAACCAGGTAGATGTCATTGTCATGTACGAATGCCGAATGGTAGAAGTGTATATTGGGATGTCTAAATTGCCGCATTACAAGTATTTCATCGAATATTAAGGAACTGTCTTCCGTTTTGTCAATGCGGTACTTCTTGACGGCTACATGTTGTCTATTTGGTAGATATTGCGCTAAGTAAACAGTGGCTATGCCGTTGCAGCATTTTGTAAGCTCTACTTTTAGGTCATAATCTCGTAGATTATATCCAAACATCACAAATTATGCTGAATTGCACTTAAAATTATTTTCAAACACAATATAGTTTTTTTTCGAAACCATTAACTTCACATAAGAGAGTGATGCGCCACTCACTCTCTTAGAATTCGAAAAACATTAAGAATTTGTCTGGAATTCAGACATAGCATGGAGAGAAACCGTTAATTTTAATTATATGTAATTTTTATATAAAATTATTCAAATAATTCTGTTAAAAATTTAAAAGAATAAAATTACGATCCTTAATATTTTTCTGTCACAAGTATTGAATAAAAATAACTGTTCATAATGTTTTTCATTAAAACTTTCGTTTTTTGACATATACAGAGCAATTAGAATTATTGGTTTTAAAAACAATAAATTAAGACAAAATACTATAATGCCATATTCACATTCTTTCATTTAAATAAGGTAGGCTTTTACTTTGTTTCGTTGATTTAGTTGCATTTTCGATAAAAAAAAAAAACCATGAACACATCGAACTAAACCCTACACGTCTATAAAGATAAAAACGCAAATAAGTTAAGTTCAACAGTGACTGTCCTGTCATTCAGAGTAGCAAAAAAATACTCTTAATTTATGAAGGAAAACATGTGAAGCAACAACAAAGCTCTTATAATCTTTACCAAAGAATATCTTTACAAGAACGGAAACTCCGCCCACTTCGTGAGAGTGCATTTGAAATTGTTTTTGAAAACTTATTTTTTATAACATTTCGGCACACGTATTAAATACATGTGATCTTACCACGATAACATCAAATTGCTCTCTTTTTGGGGTTGCAGTATAATAATTTGCTGCTACTTGTTAATCATATGTTAACTTTTTAGTAATATAAAAAACTTATGCTTCCTTATTTGGTTAATAATATTACATTACGTAAACAAAATATATATTGTAACAAGTAATATATGATAAATAAATTTATAAATTAATATATAATAATTTGAATCAATTAATTTAAATCAGTTTAGTTTGTTTAATAATGTAATATATATTCAGTAAATTAATTTTTGTTGCTATTTTCATATGAATTTTATAGTATTTTTATTTATTACGTTCGGCAACAAACTTTTGTAGAAGCAAATTTTTTAATTAAATAAAAACAAACAGTTTTGAATATTTCTTATTTAGTGAGTTATATTTTCTTATATATTTTTTGAGCGTGTAAAACATTATTTCAAAAACAATTTTGATATAATAGCATTAAATACCGTTTTGATGTGAAATTAATAACAAAGATTGAAGCTACTACCAATTCACTTTTTTATACGGCAGCACTTAAGTGATCCATGATAAATTGTGTTTCTCTGCGAAGACTTAATTTTTAAATTTAGTGCCAAAAAATATGTTGATGAGGAAGGGTGTACGCGCATTCCCTTTAAATGTGTGGTACGTATCATTGCCTTGCATGCATTTCTAATTGATTAGTAACAATAAATCTGTTGATAAGGGAGGATGTGCGCGCATCTGCTCTAAATGTATGTGGTGAATAATACTTATTATTAATTTACGTACATTAGTGTGTGATCAGTAGTGAAAAATCTATTGATAAGAGTGGGTGCATGCGCATTCATTGTCGGATTTATGAGTTTTTCTTATGAAGATATATTTTTATATAAAATTTAACAATTTTTAAATTTTAATATTGAAAAATTTTAATTTTATATTATGATTATAAAATATATTTATATATAAATACTAAAGTATTTAAAAATATTAGCTAAGTTTAATTAAAAGAAGTACAAGTTGTTTACATAATTTATTATTGTTATGAAATGAAATAGACTTGATTATTTACCAGAATTAATGCAAGATTTAAACGAGATATATGCTATACATTTTTAGTTCATCTGTTTAATGAATATTAGAAATATTTATATAATATAAAAATTAAAAACATATTTATTTTTTTTTGTGTTGTTTATGTATAGAATATATGAATATTTTCTTCAGAATTTAAATGATCTTAAAAACATAAATTTATTAGGGTTCATGATATGATCATTAACATGTAGCGCCTTATGTTTATGTTTTAAATATTTTAATCTCAATGTGAACATAAAATGCACACTTACTAATATTTTAAAATAAATAGTAAAATACTATAAATAAATAGGAAATACATGCGTACCCTTATAAAAAGAGTTAAAATACTGTCTGTTTTGCAGTTTTGACAACAAACATATGGACGTATATTTTTTAATTTTTGGTATAAAAATTGTGCTATACCTACTTTTTGGTAACTGCTATTAAAGTGTTTGCAAAATTTTAACTACTTTTTGTTAAATATTTGCGCAGTAAATTTTGTATGATTTGGCGCAACGAAATTTTATATTACTCTCAAAAAATCAAAACCAAAAAACAAAACCACACTCTTTCTTACACTCTTCATGGTAAACTTTTTGAAATATTCCGTTCTCAAAAGTACTCGAAGCATCGGAAAAAGGTGAAAAGGTGAAAAATTTCAGTGATTTCAGCTGGTGTTAGTGCACTTTTCACTAACACTTTCAAGAGCTCTACGGCAAATTGTTGTTGTGCGAAAAAACAAATTTTAGTTCACAATGGAGTTGCCGTTCTTGTAAGGTATTCTTTGATCTTTACAATTAAGTTTTACTCGCAAAAAATTTTTGTGCTTAAGTTTTAGTGCAGCTAAATTTAAAAATCAATCTATTGTGAATGTTCACTGGAAATATGTCGTAAAATTCCTGTCATCGATTAAAATCATGTCAACATTTCATTTACTTATAAATTTAAATACATAAATAAATAAATTAAATTTAAGTACATCAACGTTTACCATTGCTCTTTTAATATTAATTTTCTTTTATTTACATAAATTGGTTTTTTGTGTTTATAATATTCATATATTATATTGTACACAACACAAAGAAACACAACACAACACAAAAAAGTATTTAACATACATTAAAAGTGATACCAATTTGTTTCAACCAGACTTAATGCTGTTTTTTTTCCAATTCCAAAAGAAAAAATTTAGGCTATTGTTCTTTTACAACTCTGAAAGAAAAAATTACGACTAATGTAAATATATTATACGTACAAAATGAAATTGAAGTTAAATTCTTAAATTGCAACAATACAATTGTGTACAGAATTCCTATAAATTAAAGTAAAAAAAAAATAGTTCGGAATTTTAATAATTGAACATGACAACAAAAATGATGATGAAATTACGATTTGCTGTGTGAATAGCTTTTTAGCGAACCAAGCTGTGCTGTATGCTACGTTATTAAAAAAAGGAAATTAATTTAAATTATATATGGCCTAACATATTCTATCATTTCAATAAAATTAATATGAACTATTGTAATATGTGTATTTATTATGCATTTAAACACTACATTCTAGTGTTACCACTTAGAGCAGTGCTGTATTGTCTTGTTTTTTAAAATATTTATAAAAGATTCTATTTATCCCAGTATGATTTCAGTATTCCTGTGACCTTTTTTCGGTAGCTGGAGAGCATCGCCACAGTGTGGGACTCTAACTTATTAAAACCACCTTTTTTGCATGCAGTATGGACAAATTGCAGCTATTTGTCTATTGAAGTCAATTACTGAAACCCCATTCTAGTTATCAAGAGAAAGGCCGATTTTGGAATACAGAAAGCTTAGTATTTAGACATCTAAGCTTTCTAATCCAAATTTGTAAATAAGTGAGGGGAGGAAGGAAGGATGTTGTTGATTACTGAAAAAACACGAACGACGTAGTTCACATAAAGGGTCAGGAATTGTGGAGGCTTGCACCACATATTATTAAGTAGATTAATGGAAAATTGAACTGGATGAACAATATCAGAGAGATTAGGGGGATTTTTCGCCAAGAACGGCCGTGACTTCCTAGGGATGGCCATAACCAATATAAAAGTAAAACTGGTACACTTTTGTCGATATTTGTATATTTTTACGCTTGAAATAGTTATGACTTGAAAAATCAGCTGACATATTCTAACTTATGGAAAATAATGCATTCGATTATTCATGTCGATTTGAAATAAAAGAGAAACGTGCGAGTCAATTGAATTTAGGTTTCTTAATTTGAACACAGGAGAAATCTTAATCAATTGATATAAATACTAAGCTATTGCATTATATTCGTAGTGTTAAAATTTTGTCGTTCCCATTGACATAAGTTACTTATTGCATGAAAAGAACTTTTATAAGTCAAAAAGTTTTTTAAAAGTTTTTATAGAGCTTCTGTTTGTTTAGAAAAATTTCACTTAATAATATATCGCACAAAAAATTAAATATTTATATATTTATAAATCCATTATGTATTGAATTAATAAATAGAAAATTTCTTTTATATTTTCACTTTTTCAATATGTTTGTTAATGGCTTAGCTGTTGTTTGCTTGCATTATTCATATAAAACATATGACAAATATTTCAAATTTCGGTAATTTCCCTTGTGGGAAATTTATTTGTAAGGGTTGCATTTGATATTTTTTTGCTCTAATTTTCTTTACTTCTTTTTTAGGTAAGTTAAAAAGTGTGGAAACTCTTTGATTGGTCAATGAAATATATTTATTAAGCTATACTTACTAAGAAAGCAATGGAAACTGGCGTTGTTTATATTTTGCATCTTTTTTGTACATATTTACATTTTCTATACTCTTTACGTCAACGACACTAATGCAGTCTCTGTCGTGTATTATGGAAATACACGGCAAGAACTAATATAAAAAATGAAATTGCCTGATAAAAATTTTCATAAAAAATAACAACAAAATAACATACCAAACATAAAAAATTTTCCATAAAAAAATACCGACAACTAATCTTTCTTGTCTTCTTGATCTTCTTCTTGAGTTAGTGCAACTAATCTTTGCTATTGTGAATAGTTTAGTTTAAGAAAAAAATTTTTGTTGAGAATTGCTATCGATGATTTTCTCAGAAATAAACAAATGGTAAATTGGAGAATTTTAGATCTGATTGTCTTTGTTGTTAATTGAGAGTGAGATGCAATTCCCGCAAAAGTTTGGTGTGCAATTGGTTTTAAAGTTGATTAATATTAAAACGTAAACAAAATGGAAATTTGTAAAATTGCGCGAATAACATTCCAAGATAAGGAGATACAATATGCGGGAGAATGGTTTAAAATATTGGATTGCATGTTACCAAACAAAAACCATGTTTGTGATATAGTTCAGATTAGTAAGTAAAACATTAAAATTTCGTTTTGAAAATCTTTTTAAGCGTTTATTTTTTATTTAGTTGAGGAAACAAAGATGCTTCCGTTTGACTTAAAGTTCGTAAAAGACGAACATGACACAACTAGTTTAATGTTGTGTTATACTGGCCCGTCTCGTTCAATGAAACAGGATGCAACTGTGTTTAACAAAATACTGCCAATTGTATTTAAAAATTATGAAGATCCTTTATCTGCCACTATAAAACAAGCTGTGATTCAGGCAAATGTCTATGATGATGAAAATAAGAATTCACTTTTAAAAAAATATGTTACAACGAAATTATATGATTTGCTTTATAAGCAACATGAGCGCTGTGCTAGTGATTGGGAGTCCATACCATTCACTTTACCAGACAGTTTTCAATCAAAGCTCTGTAATTATCAAGAAAAAACTGTTGGTTGGTTATTGGAAAAAGAACGAGTAATTTCAGTAGCGCCGTCATTTTATAAAAAGTTAATTGCAGTTGACGGCATGCACATTATTTATAAACATAAATATTGCAGCTACTTGATGTCTGAAGAATCATCTCCTATAGTCGTACCAATGGGAGGAATCTTAGCAGACGAAATGGGTTTAGGAAAAACAGTTGAAATTTTAGCTCTTATACTGCTTAATCCCCGACAAGAATTTACTATACCTCAGAATATAGATGATGATACACTTTCGTCCGATGATGAAATACTTGCGAATTATGGAAAGCGTGCGCGATATAAATCTGAATTGCTTTGTGTTTGTGTTTCAAAAAAAACTAAAAACCTAATAAGATGCACAAAATGTTTTAAATCACAACACAGGAAATGCGTGTCCACATATGATGAGGACCATAGTGCCAATGTAAATGAACCATATATGTGCCCCGCTTGCTGGGAGCAGGAAACCAAAACTAATTTGATTGAATCGGGTGCAACTGTTATAGTTTCACCAACCACAATAAAAATGCAATGGTATGCTGAAATAAAGAAACATATACAGCCTACATTACGAGTGCTTGTGTATAAAGGGATTTCATCTGGTTCTTGGATATCCCCACGTCAGATGGCAAACTACGACATTGTCCTGACAGATTATAATGTTTTAAGGAGCGAAGTGTATCATACATCAGAATATGAAACACAGCGCGTAACTCGAAATAAACGCGTTTCATTAAGACTGTCAACACCTTTATTAATGGTACAATGGTGGCGTGTATGTTTGGATGAAGCACAAATGGTTGAATCTAACCAATCGAAGATTGCTGCTTTGGCTCGCATATTACCAGGTTTGGAATTTATAAGCAAATACAATTTTGTCCTTAACCATTTTAATCTTGACAAATTTAAAGCAATTAATCGCTGGGCCGTAAGCGGAACTCCTATACAACGTTCTATCGATGATATTTGTTCCTTATTGCAGTTTATAGGGTTCAAAGAACTATGTGAACCTGTTGATATTTGGAATAATTTAGTGCATAATTTTGTGATCTCATTTGAAGAGTCAGAAAAAGTGCTTGAACTTGTCAAAGTTCTTCAATTGTGCATGTGGCGGACTTGTAAATCTAATGTAGAGAATGAAATTAACATACCAGAACAAACAGAGACGATCCATCGTATAGATTTAGATAACCTAGAAAAATTGTTTTATACAGAACAACATTCCGAATGTAAAAATAACTTTGATCACAACGTTTACAAATACATCAATAGCAATGCGTGTGTTCTAACAATTTCACCACAGATCTTGACACAAGTATGTTAACGTATTTGTCTAAAATAAATTAATAATTGATTAATATTCAATTAAAATTTAAGTTAAATAATGACAAATAATTTGCTATTTTAAATGTTACAGATTTTAAAACCTCTCCTGAAAATACGACAAAGTTGCATTATTCCAGTGGTTATTGGTAACAAACCTAAAACTAGTGGCCAAACATTACAAAAGCAGTTTATGAATCCTAATGAATTACATTCTCATTTAAAGACAACGAATGAAAATGATTGCAAAGCTCAACTGCGTACGATGGCATCGTCTTACAATGGTATAAAATGAAATTTGTATTTTGATTAAAAGTCTTAAATTGTGTTTTAGGCATGGCTGCAATTAATTTTATAAGAGGAGATTATAAGGAAGCTATACGATTTTATAATGCTGTACTTAAGCTGGCACGTGATTATAATGAAAAACCCATTTAGTAAGAAATATTAAACTTAATAAATATATATAATATACATTTCCGTAATATAATATTCACCTGTATAAAATAATATCAACGTCTGATAATAATTAATATATTTAAATTCAGTTATATATTATTGTGTTTGGTTGACATTTACATATCGTCTTAGGCTGTCTTTGTCAGTCAGATCGATCAGTGGCTTGCTGTCATCAGTTTGTAGACTTAATTGTTTTTAAATCATTTATTACCTGGTGCTTTTATAAAATAAGTATATTCCTCCACTGTGACAACCATCGAATAATGAATAAAATACATTTGTAGCTGGAAAATTTTCATTTAATTGCACGACTTATCAAATTCAGCCAGCCTGCTAAATTTTAATACGCTTAACATAGGTATACGTATAGATCTTATAATTCAATACTCATACTCATTCTTAACTCAAACGATACATACATTTTCTAAAGAATTTTCTTTGCCAATGTCTGTTGGTTAGTGTCCAAGCTGCTACACCATACAGCAGGAGAGGCATGATAAGAAACTTGTAGAATAAAATTAGACACTTGCCACTTGCTGTACAAAAATGATAAGTAAACTAAAAAAATAAACAAATATTCCCTATTCAATAAGTAAAGCTACTAAAGAGGAATATTTGGTTAGGTGGCTTAATTAAATTTTTTAGTCAGCTAACAACAGTTTTTGTTTTGGTTCAAACAAGCGTTTGGTAACATTAATAAAAGATTATTTGTTTAAAGTTAAATTAGTAATTCCCAAGAGTATTTATTTGTGCTAACACATCTTTCCAAACGAGGAATCACTAGTGTCCACACTAACTGCTGTTCTTTGGCGATTAACATATATTGCTGCCATAAGTGCTTTCGTTAACTAATGCATATAATATTATTTTATTCAGCAATTAATTAAAATTTAAACCTTGTTATTAATCATACCTTTTTATTTAAAGCAAATAGACTTTATATATGTACACATAAATATGTATGTATTTTAAGTTATTTAAAGATACATATTCAATATTAAATAACAATTTTGAATTATTTAGCGTTGACAGTCTTCTACAAATTCATGCTTTGCATAACATGTTACAAGCTATGGATTGCTCAGGAACTCGTACTACAATTGTTGAAGATTATGAGGCTGAAAAAAATGCATTAGAGTGGAAATATATTCAGCAATATGTGAGTGTAATGCGAACTGTGGAACTTGATTATGAAAGTAGCAAAGAAGCATATGAAAATTTGCTACGAGAATTGGATATGCCACTTTTGAATTTCTTAAGTACCCTCTCTGAGTTAGTGTTGAGGGAACAAGATCAATTGCATGAGCCGTTAATGCATAAAATATTTGATGAATGTCAAATTTCATTTCCAAAGAAGGTACATGCAATCGAATCTGTCAGAAGTTTACTGTACACTGTAAGTATATGGATGGAAAAAGTAAATAAGCTACAAAAAAAGTTGTACAAAGAATTTGAGAGTATAAAATTTTTTACTAATAATGTCCGGGAACGCAAAAATATTGATGAAGATATGTGGTGCAGAATGTTGCAGTTTATCAGCACTGTTAGTGACTGCCATCTGTATAGAATACGTGTAAGTATTTTTCTTAGAATTAACTATATTTAATTTAAACAATTGCATTTATTTTTGAATAGAAAAAAAATAATGAGGACGATGAAGAGCAAACCAAAAATAGAGAGATGAATTTCAAAAGAGGCGCACCGAAGAAAAAAAATGACCAGGGCTGCAAATTGTGTACAATTAAAAATTTGTTAGATGAGTGTGAGTCCTTGTTTTTCAACAAAAATAAAAATCAGGAAGGCAAAAAACTAAACACCATGGAAGTAGTTTTAATTAAAGGTTCGTTTGTAGCGCATATTTTACTTTTCAGTGATAATTACTGATAATTAATTATTCAATAGTATTTTTAAATTTTATGAAAACAAAACAAAGATTTTATAACTGCCACGGTAATATTGATAAGTATGTGGAGGTGTTTGAATCGATGCAGAGCCTTCTAAAGAAACAGGCTAAGTTTTGGATTGAAATAGAATATACAATAAAAGCATATGACGAATTGGATATGTGTAAAACGCGTATAACACTCACGGAAGACGAAGATGATGACACAAATTTTAAAATTTTAGAACTGGAAGTAAGTGCTATTTTAGTTTATTTAAAATTGTTTCGATGAAATAATTTTTTTATATAATCTGCATATTGTTTTAGTTAGCGGAGTCTTTTACAGCATATAAATACGTTTACCAAGCAGCGCAACATGACTTCACGACTAAATTGGCACGACTGAGATACATAAATCATCTTAATTCAAATGCTGAAAATGGGCCCTGTCCGATTTGCCAACTTGAAACCGAGACTAGAGTAATTACAAATTGTCTTTATTTTAAAATAATATATTTTAATACATATATATCAATATTTAGTATGCCGTGTTGGACTGTGGACATCATATCTGTTTTTTGTGTCTACAACAAATGCAGCGAATGAGCAAAGACAAGCGTATAACTTGCTCTATTTGTAGACATGTCCAAAATACACATAAGTATGCTTTTGTTTTCTATAAATTACTATATTTTTATACGTAAAATATTATTGGAACTGTTCAAAACCCATACTGGGGGTTTAATGTTCAATTTAAGCGGAATGTTCCAAAGTATTCCAAGGGACATCTGCTAGTATTTTTATTTTCTGAAATGATGAACTGTACTTTGTCATTGAAATTGACGCGTGGATCCGGCATGTAAACCCAGGAATCTACTTGCAAGATGTATTCATCGATCTCTTTCTTAGGGCCATGTTATGCAGAGTTGCAAAATTCGCTCTTTCGGGCTATGCCGAAAATGCATTTTATGCGGAGTGTCACATCAGTATTGCCAATTTTGTATTTTTACTCCTTCTTGGTTGTGCCTAAATTTAAAAGGAAATTTAGATACGCTCACTTTCAATTTGCCACCAAAAATAACTAGCAAAAAAAAACCCATAAAGGCTGTAATAATGTTAATTTATTATTATATTATCTTATAATAATTGTTAACAGTACTTAACAGTACTTACGCGTTTCTTTAAAATCGGAAAGTGTAAAAATTATAGTATTAGCAATTTTTAAAAAATGACTATGTTGCTTACTGTCATTTTTTCTCCAAAACGTATTAGAATTTGTTCCTAAAAGGCGGAAATTTGAAATTTATTACTAAACAACACTGTTTTGCCTTACTGCCGGGGCACAAGTACGCCGGCTCTTATACTGGAGTTTGAACGGCCATATTGTTTTTTCTCTCATTCACAAATTTTTAATTTGCATTGAAAACAACAACAATTGTACTCATGCCGTGCCCGAGACACTCTGTCTAACATGGCCTTTACTATCATGTTTATATCGACACCTACGTGGCCTTACATCCTTGTACATAGATGTTGTATCCTTTTCGTGACCACGACAGTATAGCAGCAAAGTTCTCAACATGCCTCCGTCCTATATTTTTCGGGAAAAACTACGCTTTCTCCGTGCAGCAAAACTGATTTATCCCAATTGAAGTCAAGATATAGCTATGGGCAGAACACTACGTGTCAGTGTAAAATGTGTGCCATAACTGCTACTCTATTCCCCCTGATATTGTCCATCTGTTTTTATGTTCTAATACAAACACCAATTTGAGTTCAATTGATCTTTAGCTCTGTCCCATTAAAGTGGCTAGGTTTCTTAACCCTGACCCATATTAGCTTGAGTAAAAATCTGACGCATCCTCAATTCACAATTCGTTTACATGATAATATCTTAACCCATGTTTACATTTTTGTAGTTCCTTTCACATTATCTGCTATATAGTTCTCTAATGATTACTACAACAACAACAACAACTTGATATTCGAACGTTATATTGCGTTTGAGAGCAGTTGTTTTGTTATATATATATATATATGCTGTTTATGTTTCTCAAACGTTTTTGAGTAGAAAGATCATTTTCGAACATCTCAGGTGTTTCATTTAAATGTTCGAAACGGAATCAATTCGAACTATCTGAAAATTGTGATACTTGAGCGCTTTAAAACGCTTCTATAATCAATTAGATGTAATATTACACACATTAATTGTTATTTCAGAATATATTACGTTAGTCGGAGTGCTGGTAGACAATTAGATTTCAGTGCAAATGTTGAAGGAAAATTTTCCACGAAAATCACTTATATAATTGGATTAATTCTTAAGCTTAAAGAAGAGGAAAGCAATAATAATTTGAAAATTTTAATATTTTCTCAGTGGAAACCTATTCTAGAAGGCATTGCTGAGGCGCTCACTCTTAATAAAATTTCTTTTAGACAAAAATTAAATGAAAAGGGATTAATAGATTTTAAGGTCTGTACTAATATTTTTATAATAACTTCCCTCTTTTTTTGCTATAAATTTATTCTTTCTATTTAACACTCAAAGAATCAAGATCTCGGAATAACTTGTTTGCTAATGCTGCTCTCTCAAGGTGCGAAAGGCTTAAATTTAACAGAGGCTACGCATGTATTTCTTGTGGAGCCCATACTTAATCCTGGTGAAGAATTACAAGCTATTGGTCGTGTACATCGCTTCGGCCAAACAAGGTAAGAACATTTTTAAATATTAATATTTTAATAATTTTTTAACATTAATATTTAGATCTACAACTGTACATCGTTTTATAGTAAATAATACAATTGAGGAAAATATTTATAATTTTGTAAAGTCTGAAACAAAATCGCAAAAGAATTGGGAATTCAATAATATGACCATAGATAATTTGCGTAATTTGTTTACTTTAAACAGTGATATTTCAGAAGATTATCAATACGAAGCAGAAACTTAATGTGTATAATAGATTTAATCGTTTTAATCGTTTTAATTCAGTTTGTATTTTTTAAAAAAATTTAATCGTTTTAATTTAGTTTGTATTTTTTAAAAAACTTTAAAAATTTTTTTTAGTTTTATAAAAAAAAATAAAAAAAATATTCATATGCATGTAAGGACGAATTTTTATTTCATAAAGTATTTATATCTTAAAGTTCATTGTTTACAAAACGATCTGCTTGTTTATTTAATTTATAAAACTGTTAAATATTAGTGCAGGTCCTAAAGAACTTTGTGTACTATGACCATATATTGGCTATTGTGTTTTCACTTCTTCAGAAAAGAAACCGGGTTATCGAATTGAGTTGTTTTCGAATTGAGCTGTTTCCGCTTACTAATTGCCAATTATCGAGCCACGTATAGAACTGAAGATTTTGCAGTTAGATGGTCTATTATGTCTTCGTCTGATAGCATAATCTATATTTATTTGATTCAGAGATACTTAGTTAATACAGGAGCTCAAAATAAAAGTGTTAAAAACTATTTAAAACTTTTAAGTTTTAGATTCTCTTTTCTAGCCGCTGTTGCCTGCAGCTACAGAACAATCTCCGATGACTAAGCCGTCTTTACGCCTGGCAAGGAATGATACCAACGATAGATCAAAAATCTACTGAACTCGCATATTTACTTAGAGAATTGCAGCAAACATGGTAGCAATTTTTCAAGAGACGATGGATCTATGCACTCATTCCCAACATTAAATAATATATGACAAGAAAACATGATGAAGTGGATTTCAATACCAAATCGGTGATCTCGTGAGGGCAAATCGTTGGAAATCGGGGTAACTTTAATGGGTTAAAGTTTCACACTGATATGGGCTTACGATTGCTTCACACTTTGTTAAAAAATTTTGTTCTATTCCTCAACTCGTTAAAGAAGCTGCAAGTCAATTAATTTTAATTGACTTACTATTTCTTTTCTTTGATATTGTACAAATTGATCCAGACAACTCTACAGTATATTTTCATATCCCATTCATTGATTCATTCTTTTTCAACAATCCTTTCTGTCGCAGAGTGGAATTAAGCAGGGGTGCCTGCTATCATCACTATTATTTGCAGTAACGTTAGATGCCGTGTTGAAAAAAAGTCATTGTCGAAAGAAGGGACATATTATGGAGGGTCAACCAACATCTCGAAAACGTCGAGACATAGTTTTACTCTCTTTAAATAAAGAGCATATGTAGGCAAAAATTGATGCTCTTTCATCTACAGCCGCACTAGTGGGTCTGCGGATCAACATAAGCAAAACAAAGGCATGCAGGATTAAGTCAAATCAAACTTCCACTTTCACAATCAGTATGACCAACATTGAAACCGTTGAAAATGTCTCTTGCTTTCAATGTATAATAAATCCAATGAGAATTGCAGGCACCGACGTACGAAGCAGTATTAACATAGCAAGATCTGCATTTGCAAGTCTCCGTAATATTTGGAGCTCAAGCGAACTATCTCCGAAGTCCAAAATCAATGTATATAATGCATGTGTCAAATCAATTCTGCCGTAGAGCTCCGAAACATGGCTGGTGAGCACTGAAATTAGCCGTTTGCTGCAGTCTTTTGCGAACAGATGTCGGCAAAATATATTGAGAATTTGGAGGCCCTGTGTGGTGGACAAGGAAACACTGTTGCAACTCACAAACCAAGAAAACAATGTGCAAATAATACGACGAAAATACAACTGACTCGGGGACTTATTAAGAAAATCCTACAAAGAGGTCTGTCAGATTGCCTTACAATGAAACCCGTAAGGCAATCGAAGACCCGGCAGGTCTCGAACCACTTGGAGAAGAACTAATCCGCATGAAACTAACAAATATCATTGAATGAATTAAGATATTTAGCATTAAATAGAAATACTTGGCGATTCTATGTAAATAGTCTATGTTCCTGATGGAATGCGGCTTGATTATAATAATCTACAATCCGTTAATTTTTCTATACGTCATCTTATCTATGCAATCTTATGTGATATGATATGAACTGATTTTGTATCAGTTCTGACATGAAATAGATGTTTTTTATTAGTGATATATTATATAAATTTTTTAAGATTGTTCAATAAGAAAAAAATTTATGAAAAAAGTGTACATCTTTTGTATTTATTTTTATTATACATTTTTTTACATTTGTTTTTAATTTTTTTTTTATTACATTATATGACTTTAGTCATAATCAGTGTTTGATTATTACAGTTCAAATAAAAAATGAAATTATATAAAATAATAATCATAATATTCGGAGTTAAATATTAATTCCGACAAAATATCGCATAAATGGTTTTTATATTATTTTATATACTACATAAATATATACTTATATCTTAAAACTAATACTTAATAATGTACAAGCTATTTTACAAAAATGTTCACAAGTTCATAACTAAAAAAGATTATTCCCGCAAAAGAATTAATTCCAGTTAATTTGTAATACTTCCTGCAAAGTCCTATGTAAAAATCGGTTCCTAGCTGAAATTAATTTCTATTCTAATAATGTTAAAAATTTAATTTTATAATTAAACAAATTTTAATTTAATTTAATTTAGATGACTGTAAAAAAATTCTTTTTTTTTTGCTGATATGTCAATATTTGAACATTTTATCTTTTTTGGAATGTTTACAATAACAAAAAATTTAATGCATTTCTTTAATAAGTCAATTCATTTTATATATAAATATTTACATTCTTATATAATTTATTATTTTACTTTCAAATATTTAATTTCTAATTTTGTTTTTGTATATAAATTAAAGGCACTAGTGTTTCTTTGTATTATTCGTAATTTAGATCGAAATAGTTAAATTTATATTTCATTGCTTGTGTGTTTTTGTTTTTATGCGGCTTCAAAAAATTTATTTATTTAACAACATAGATAATTAATTAAATAATAAGACCTAAGCAATTTTAAATAAAATTTAAAATTTTATTTTATTGCTTTTTCTGCGCTTTTACATTAATGACTCTCACACTTTGTGTTTTTCTAAATTTTTACCTAAATTTTTTTTAATTGCTTTTATCTCATAATCGATGTTAAGAATTTTGATAGAGCTACCAGTATGACTGTCGGTATATATATATTGAACATGTTATTGAGTAGTGTTGGGGCACCAGATTTGCTCTGACCTGACTTGTCGAATTCGGAGGGCTCATTGGATTGATGATCGCCAGCACCTTTTTTTAGAAAAAAAAAATTAGAAAAAAGAGTTCATTATTGAAAGAGTTTTTTCTTTAATTAAAAAAATAATATATATAAAAAATTAATAAACTATAATGATAATATTTATAACTGTGCTTTATAAGGCTAAGTGTAACAACGAATTTAAAAAATTTAAAATAAATAAATTTAAAATATAATTTATTTATATTTATATATATAGTAAAAATTTTTAAAAATAATTAATAAAGGATTGTTTATCATAATAATACATTATTTATAATAGTTCAATTAAAAAAAAATAATAATTTATTAAATGAAATCTTTAAAACAATTTTCATCAGATATTTTTCTACTTAGAATAGAAATTTCTGTTCTTGGACAGTAATTCTATTTCAAATAGAAAGTTTTTTATTTGTATTTATAAGGTATTATTTTGATATTATCTTGATATTAATTTAATATCATCTTGATATTAACTTGGCATTGTCTTGGAATATTATTTTGATATAATCTTGGTATTATTAATTTTGGTATTATTAATCCTGGTAATATTATTATCTTATAATACTATTTTGATATAATCTTGATATTATTTTATTACCACCTTGGCATTAATTTGGTATTAACTTGAAATAATATTTTTATTAACTTGATATTATTTTGGTAGTAGTTAGTTATTATTTTGATGTTGAGAAAATAATAACGCAAAAATGCAACTGGAAAGGTCACATAGACCTGCGACAGACATCAATAAAAAATGCTATAGTAAATATATATCCACAAGGTAACAGAAGATTTGTGTAGCTGCGACTTTACGATAATGGATTTTTTTTGTAACGACTCTATTTTCTTGACGGGAATTTAAAAGATTAAGATTAATATATAAAATTAATATAAATATTGATAGAAGATACTAAATTAGATTCATAGAATCTTATTAAATAATATGGTTGGGATACATTATAGATGTAGCTGTTGATGCTCTAGTAAAAAAGTCTTTTAACAGCGAAGAAAAGGTAAATCAAGAAATTCGACTTACAACACTTTTAATAATATTAAAACATTTTTAAATAACTTGCACACTGGGCTTGTCTAATTCGATTAGAAGAATAATTCAGATTGTATAAATTGTAAGTTCACCACTCGATTTATGGAATCTCAATGAAGAAGATGGTTTGGACAAATTATGCTATACAGTGATTTCAGATAGCGAAGAATAAACTATGGCATGAGAATGGCTTGATACGGCAGAGAATATTCGATTCTATTCTTTTAAATAAATAGCATATATGTAAGAACTATTATATATTTAAGAACAACCTAAGACCTTTATATAATTAGAAAGTCAAAATTTTATTTAATGATTTTATCTGTAAAATTTTTATTATAATTACTTGTAGTTTAGATTATAATTGGAAATTACGGATAATTTAAACAGATTGATTTATATGAATCGATATAGCTAATAAGCGAAAACGAGCGATATGTACCTATTAAAAACATTTCAAAACGTGTAAAAAAATAGTAATAATTTAAAAAAAAAAAATAAATTAGAATTATTAAAATTATTAGAAAAACTTTTGATAAGAGTATGAACCTCCCTTATTAAGAGTTTAGAGGAGAGAAAACCAATAATTTATTTATGAAAATAAAATAAATATTTTCAAAAATATATTTTTGTAAATATACTACTTTATTGACTTAAATTAGGTAATAGTTAATCAACGTTATTTTATCAGCAGTTATTCTAGAATCTAACTGCAAATGGAGAAGACGAATTAGTGTATGATGTAGTAGACTCTTTCGTTGCACATCGACTAACTTTACAATATATGACATACGTTTATAAAACGGTTTGCCACTACTGGGATACTATGGGATACAGACAGAGTACGACCAAATGGACGTTATATGATAGACTATGTCGATAAAAAATTGAGAGGTTTTGACAAGAGAAACTAAAAATCCTCATAAACAAGAACGTAGCAGGTCTGATAATGAGAATATGAATAATTTGACATAGGTCTCTATAGTAGTGGGTATGCAATTTGTTTGAATGATTGAAATGATTTTGGCATTCTCTTTTTTCAGAACCTTCAAAACTTTCTAATATGAAGTTAGTGTATTCATGCATCCAAGTTGCGTTTAAAGTTTATTTTGATTCACCAATTTTATATATATATATGTATATTTTTGTTTTAATATTAGTAATAATTCAACGAACCACAAAAAAGCTTGCTCTTATATTTTTGGTAATAAAAAAAAAATTTTAATCATATATTTTATATATAAAACAAACAATGATAAACAATCCCATTGCAATGTATGTATATATAGTATTGTTATATATAATAATTATGTAGTTATAAGATTTATATATGTAGTTATATATATATTTTATGAAGTATATATTTATTTGTTATATATTAAATATAAAATAAATATTAAATTAAAATTGATGAAAACCTACTTTTTTGGTTTGCAATTGGCGCTGTTTTTTTGGCAGATTCATGACAGACTTTGGCTTTTTGGTACTTATGTTGGGTTGGCATTGGTATTTATGTCAGCTTGCAACACACACAATTCATATATAAACGACAGCACGAAACAAAGCATTGGACGATTGGACAAATTTTAAAGCACAGAACACACCAGAGAGATACTGGACTCGCTGGGAGAGTTTACCTTTAACGGTGGGTGTTGCACGCATGAGGCAGCAGCTGCACGCAATATTCTTTTTAGGGGCTATACGATTACGGCTGGTTTCGTACCGACACAATGAACTTATTTAATATATTTATGTAAAGATTTGAGAGCGGCACGTTTGTATAATAATTTTTTTGTTAAATTCTAACGAACTTTATGCTATAGGAATTTTTATAAATTTATATTTAAATATTAAATAAAAATTTTTAAAAGAACGAATTCGCGATATTCCACATCCAGCCCGGATAATTTCTTCCGCCTATATTTGGGACTATGAATTTACAACAATTTTTTTTTTGTTTTTGTTTATACCACGGAATTCGCGTTATAGTTTTTGAAATTAAAAAAATTAAAATTGTTATGAAATTATTAAAAAAAAAATCACAAAAATAAATTAATAAAATTATTTAAAAATTTAAAACGCTCAACATTTTACTCTAATTTCTAGTTTGATATCAAATCTAAGAAGCGTGCGAAAGCTAATTTCAAAATACTTTGACAGTGCGCTAAAGAACTTCCTTATAGATACTTTATATATGCACTAATTTATATATATATATATACACAAAATACACACATAATAGCACATTACAGAGCAAGAGCATTACAATATTAAGCTACAAGCGTGAAGATTTTGTTCACTTTCACATTTTTAATAAATAATTTTATGAACTGAGTTTACTATTTGATTATCCACGTTTCTTTACTCCTGTAAAAATATATTAGAAAATGCGAGATTTTGTTTTTAAAATTTTTAATTATCATTTAAGAATGATTGTTTTTAGTGTTGTTGTTGTTGTTGTTTTTTTTTAACAGGAACATGCTTGCTCTACATATTTACAAATCTCATTTTGTATTAATTATTGAATATCGTGCAAACACAAAAGTGGGTATGGGATATGTGGGCGTGGCATTAAAATAGTTAATAGTTAGAGAAATAATAGAGAAACGTGCAAATTTTGTTTTTTTTTTGTCAAAAATTTTAATTGATTTACATTTTTCATATTTTTGTGTTTATTGTCATGCATTTTGTTTTATGAAAATAAAATTTTGTTATATATAAATACAAATTAATAAAATATAAATATAATTTAGTGCCAAAATTGCAAGGTGAGAATAAATACTTTTTACGCAACACACTAAGTACACTTGGAAAAATAGTTGGGTAGTTGGGGTGTTCGAATAGGTAATAGAGTCTCAAAACTACTTTTCAATTGTAAGAATATACGTATATAAAATGGTAGAATTTCTTTTTAAGGGAAAAGGACTAATAGAATTAGTAGTTAAAGTGACAGCTTTTTGGGGGTCCGTTAGGCCCTTGGTGAAAATTTTATTAGTATTTATAGAGATATATTGTATTAAATTCTTTTTCGTTATTATTAAGACCGACAATAGAAAAATTTAAGAACATTTTAGTTTTAAAATAAATCGTAAAACGTTCATAAACATTTTCCATAAAAGAAAGTCTAAAAATAATAACATATAGTATATTTATAAAATATATTTTAGAAAAATATAAGAAAGTTTTAGTTTTAAATAAATCTAAATGTGTTCATAAGTTTATGTGTAAAAATATAAATTTAACAAATATATAGATAGAGACAGATAATTATATTATGTTATATAAAAATATATAAAACTGATTTTAATAAAATAAATATAAATGGTTGTGTCATATAAACCATGACACAAGGTTTAAAAATAATAATATGTTATTACTAAATACAATAAAAATATAAGAAAATTTTAGTTTTGAATAAATATAAAAAAAAATATTTATACATATAATACATATATAGATAAAAACAGGTAATTATAGTGTAATATCTATATATTTTTTTTGTAATAACTTACTGATGAAGACATATATTAAATAAAAATATAAAGTTAACAACTCTAATTTTTATTTATTAAATTTAAAATTTGTTTTTATATAATATATGTTTTATATAAAAATATAATTTTTAAAAAATCGATCTAAAGCTTGAAAAAATTAAACACATTTAATATTGATTATAACAAAACAAATATATATGAAAAGTATATGTAAATAAGTTTATATATTAAAATATAAAATTAATTTTTTATAAACAGAACTTATATAACAAAATTAGTGGTTTTATTAAATGAACTAATTTTTTATAAATTCTTTATAACATATTAATGTAATATGAATAATTCAAAATGCAATAATTGAAGTATAAAGTTTAAACTTTAATATTATTAACTTAATATTTTTATTTGTTCTTAAATATAAATAAAAAAATATATTTGTATTTATTTGTATATACATATTTATGTGTATAAATATAAATATTATATAAATATAATAATATATAAATATTAATATAAAAGATAAAAAATGCCTAATTATTTTTAAAGTTTTTAAATACCAAAAATTAAAAAATTGTACATTTTTAATGGAATTAATTTATAATAAGGTCATTTAATAAGGTTGTTCACTATTATTTAGATAAGTGAAGATATAAGCTTTGGCTTTGCGGAGCTCAGTTGAGTTTAAACATAGAATTTTGAATCTACATTTTGTTCCTTATATATGTGATAACATATTTTAACATATATATAAAATATAATATATTTTATGATAACTCTAAGAGCTGCTATACATTTTTTTCATGCTAATATTTTGTTAGCTAGCTTTGAGTAAAATCATTATAAACTTAAAGAGTTTTTTATTAAATAAGATGAATCTAAAGAATATGTGAAGTGAATGCATTGAAAATTAAAAAATTTTTTCTAATAAAAACATGTTCTCAAAACGCCGGATTATTTATGCGATATATCCAAAGCTGATCAATTCTATTTTAACTACACTGGTTGCATTCCCAAATGATACACAAGTTTCATATTTGAAATGAATACCAAAAAAAGGAAGTTTATTTTAAAAAGCAACCGTTGATTCGTCAGTACATATGACAGCTATAGAATAGTCATCGGATTCGACAAATGTGTGCAAACTTTTATTCGATTATCTCAAGAACTGAGGGAGTAGTTTGGGATAAAGCAGAAAATGAACTCAGCTTGTCGATCTTACTTAGTCGATCTTACGTTACTTAGATCTTGAAAAACTTAATATAATATATATAAACATTTTCGTTTAAAGAGTATAAAAAAGAAATTTTAAATAAACTTTAAAAAAATTTTAAACAAAATTTTTATAGATTTGTATTAAATTTGTATGAATTTAAATGCAGAAATACTTAAATTTTTTTTATCTTATTTCATAATTTTATTAATTAATATAATTTATAATTAATTCTTAAAAAATACCAATAAAAATATAATTTGTCGTATTTACGTATTTTTAATTTATAAATTCGTTTCAGGAATATAATTTAATATATCATTAATATCATAGAAAAAATGTAGAAATAATAGAAATGGAACAGAATTTGAGTATAGATACGATAATGTCTTATTTTTATATAAAAGTTTAATAAAATCAAATTAAAATACTTTGGGTGTTCTAAGTTAGTTGCATGCTGATTGCCTTATTTATAAAATATTATTTTATATATATAGAAAAAAATAAATAGTATTAAATTGTTTTGATATTTTTAGTAACTATCTACAAAATATTTATAAAAACAGAATAAAAATCATATATGGTCGAAAATTGAACAAGAAAAATAATTTAGTTAATTTTTATAATTTCATATAATTTAATATAATTTAAATGTTAACAACTTTTTAATCAAAAACATAGAAAAATCTATGTTTTTGCTTTTATTTATGAATTTTTATATTATTTTTATATTTAATAGCTTAAGTTATTAGTTGAGTTTAAATAAAGTCTAAAATATCACATTACGAAAATTGGTTTATTTTATTCTGTTTTTAAATTTTAAAATAAATATTAAGTTTTTTTACAGATTAGTATGCGGCAGTAACTAAATTTTAAATCTACTGTTAACTTGCAATGTTAGTGGTTTAAAGTGCATTAAGTTATTTGCGAACATTCTACTGTTAACTTAAGTTAAATATATTTGCGCGGAGGTTAGTGAAACCGACCAGTTTACCATTTTTTGTCCTTCTTTTGCCTTGGTGCATAGCAATAGGAATCTGTTTAAAAGTTCTGTTTTGTTAAGTTTTTGTATTGTTTTTTGTTTTTGTGTTTAATATATTAATTTTGTTGTTGTTGTATTTACTAAAGTTTTAATTTTTCTTATAAATGGTATGCTAAATTTAGTTGTTGTAAGAGAGTGTATTGAAAAGGGAAATAGTTTTTACAAAATATTAATCAAATGAAGTAAATGAAAATTATTTAAAAAACAATTGTACAAATAACAAATTACAAATTAATTACATAGAAAAGAAGGAGTCATATTTAAATTAATATTATTTTACGAGTTATTTTTTATTAATATATTTGAAATATATTTCAGTTTTATCTTAAGATATTAGGTGTAACATTAATTTGAAATGTAAGGTTTGAAACTTTTATTTCAAAATTTTGGATTTTAAGTAAAATAAATAGTAATTTTATATAATATTTAATTAGATATAATGAATAACCAAATGTGCAATAATGAACAATATTTCGTTTTAAATGACTTGAAGTATTTTTGTTCAAGTTTTGTACATCAAATACTTAGATATGTATCTCATAATTATTTTTATTAATTCAAATTTAATAAATCAGTATCAGTTAATATATATCGAAAGATTGTTGAATCTAAGTTCGTGAAAAAATGATTGGACTTTATCATCGATTGTCTTTGATTTTAGCAAGTAAATTATATTAAGAAGAACAACAAAATTTTTAACTACATCAAATTAAATTTGCTAATAAACTTTTTAATTAAGTAACGTCATTAATTTGCAATTTAAATTAAAAAAAATTTAAACTAAATTAAATAAAATTTTTAATAAATTTTTAATTAATTTGCGTATTTCTAAATTGATGTTAACTTCTAGTTTTCACTTATGGTACATCTCATGCTTATAGCAGTGACAGTTACTGTAATATGTTTTTGGTAATAGTAACATAACAGCATCAATAACAGCAGGACATTGTACAGTGATTTGTTAGTACATTCAAATGTAGTACATTGAACTAATGTAATTTTATTAAATATTTTTAACATTATGTTATTTAGAATAAAATTAAAAAATTTCTCAAAAACTCATATGCCATTAATGTTTTTCACACATTTAAAAAATTTCAATTTAAGATTTAAGTTGTTTTTTAGGAAATAACATTTTATTTGAAAACTGCACAAATTTACTTACAATAAATATTTTACTCATAACTTAGTGATTGTCATATGTTCTGGTAAAAGATAAAATATTCTTTAATCATTTAATTAAATAAATAAAAATTTTATAATTTCATTTAATTAGATATTAAATATTTATTATATTAAAGCAAGATTATTTTTATTAGTAAACATACCAATGCACCACTTAGGAAGGATATTTATATAGAAAAGATGACATTAAATTTAACACATAAAGTAACGTAAATTAAAATTGAATTTTATTATTATTAATAAATGTATAATAATATATAAATTTATTAAAACATATATTTAATATGTAGAGGTACTGTAGGTTTTGCTTAACACCATATAAAACAAATCAGAACACAAGAACTTATAATAACAATTTTTTACAATAGGAATTTAAAATTTAATAATAGAAAATTGGTAATGAAACAAATAAAAGATTAAGATAATTAAAATAAATTAAAATAAATTAATAATGAAATTTTGTTGAAAAGTGTAAATAAATATAAGATGAAACATAAAAATCACAAATAAATTAAAAGTGCTGTGTACTTAAACATAACAAATACTACAAGAACTTAATATAACATACCATAGATAATAATATTTTATTTATTTTTATAATTGAAAACTGTGTAAAATTTATTTTAAAAAATTTTTCTGAGATCAACAAGTTAAATTAATATTATTGCTTTGTGTATTTTTTTGTTTGTTATTTGTGTCTCAGTGTATTTATTTTTCTTATAATTTTTTGCAATTTAAATAGTAGTCTTTGGTCGGTTCCACTCACCTGCATCGAAGAATACATTATCTTCACTTTCGTCAAAATTATATGACGAGCGCAATTCTGATTCCTCTGAATCCTCTATTATATTACCTGTTGTCGTTGGTACATTTTTGCAACCGAACCACCAATGTCCTGATGGGCGTGGGAATGGTGGATCAGCAGTATCAACCTAAATTTTAATAAAAAATTATGTGATGTAAATTAAAAAAAAAACATATATATTATTTAGAGCTTACCGCAAATGTTCTGTCGTTAAACCTATAGTATTTATCACCTTTGAAGAAGTATGTGTAACCATTTGTGTATTGTAAAGCGGAGTCTAAATTATTTGGCAAGCCTTCCCAATTTGAAATGGGTTTGGGATAACTTGATTTAACTGGTGGCTTTTTAAGTGGATCAAAACGCCAGAATTTGCTGCCTTTGAAGAAGTAGATTTTACCATTGCCGCCCCAAACCATCGCAGCATCCAAATGATCAGGTATGCCTGTGAAACCATCACTAATTTCTTTAGGATAATCACCATCTATTGTGCGTCCATTATAACGCCAGTATTTCGTACCCTTGAAGAAATATGTTTTACCATTTTTGTATGTGAATGCTGCGTCAATATCGCCTGTTAAAGTAAAAAGCATTAATTAATAATTTTTGTATATTTAAAATTTTTTTTTCCTGATAAATTACCTGGCAAACCTGGCCAACCATCAGCAATATTTTTGGGATAACCTTCAGCAACTGAGTTTTCTGTGAGTTTATAATATTTATTACCCTTAAACGCATATGTTTGACCATCTGCAGAATTGAACAAGGCATCAACTTTGGGATCTTTGCAAATGAGATCATCTCTAGGTATTTTTGGTGGTGCGAATGATGGTCTTTGCGTTGTGCTTGGGAAACTACCAGGACCAGCTGTTTTACGTCCATACAGTGCTTGTATAGCGAGTACATCATCGGAGTCAAGTTTAAATACTGGCTCAAAACCACGATAAAATGGTGCCATCAATGCTGAACGTACATCTGAATGCGACAAACCCAATGAATGGCCAAATTCATGTGCTGCTACTTGAAATAGATTTGTGCCTCTTGGAGAACCAATTGTCCAAAGTTCAGCATCATCAAAATGTGCATCACCGCCAAAAACGGGAAAGAATGCATGAGCCAATGTGCCACCAACACCATCAAATGGATCACCATCTCCATGTTCACTCTCAACAAATCTGTTTCATAAAGAGTTTAAAGATTAGCATATGGAATGTATAAGTAATTACTTGTATTTATGAATTATTTATATGACTATTAATGAACTTACTTAATTTCAATATGTACTGGTCCGCTTGTTTTTTGTGTAAAAGATAAATCAGTAAATTCACTCCAAACATTAAAGGCACGTGAAATCTCTGCATCAACATCGTTGCGTTTCAAACGTTTTGGGTATTTTGAGATTTTGTAAGTCAAAGCCTTAACACGCCAACGGCTGCCTTGTAATGCATAACGCTTGGAGCGACTATCAGTGCCAAAGCCGACTTTGTCACGTACACCACAACGTGGTAAGGACATCAATTGTAGTGTTTCCTCATCTAAATCACCTGTAGTATTCAAGCCAGCAAAACTTTGAAAATCTTGTACCGCTTTTGTCCATGTGCTTGCATCGAGCAGACCACCATTAGTAGGATTCCGTGCTGAGGCGGGTAAATAACCAAATTGTGATAAATAAATCTGTAAATGGTAAGGGAAAATCATATAAATAAATTAATTAAATAAATAAATACTATTTGTCTTAATGAATAAAATTTTATACTAATGAAGAGGTATATGAGATATCATGATAAAGTTTGAAAATGGTTCCAAAACCTCTGAACTTCATACATAATAACCTCAGCTACATTAACTTTAAATTTGATTATATCATAAATCCGTTGAGAAGTAGTTATTTTTTTTTTAATTATGTAGAAGATAATTGGAATTATGTAAATAATTTTAAAATTTATGTAATTTTTTACACAGTCCTCATCTATTTGTTCACGTTGTTTTGATTTTCGAAATCGTTAAGGAACACTTCAAGTGAAATTAAATAAGCACAAAGTCCTGTCCACACCTGCAGAGAAGAATCACTTGTAAAAATTTTCTTAATTCCTGACATATTTATGCGTATTCCAGAAGGTGTCAACATTAATCAATTTCTTTATAAAATCGTTCTCTCATTTGTTTGGTTGGGATTGTGGCTTATAACAATAAACTGAATAAATTATAAATAATATCACTTTGTTCAGGACTTGATTCATCATTTATGTTCTGCTGTTTTTGTTTTTTTTTTTTTTTGGTTGAAATTCATAAACTAAATTTCTCAATTTATGGAATGACTGCATTGTGTGTATACACGAGTCCACATTATGGTGATTTATATCGATCAGATAATGGCGAACTCCTCCTATCTAACAAATGCAATCGTGCCACAAACTGACATTGAGGTGCATTTGCTGCATGCTTAAATGCGGTAAATGTCGTTTGTGTAAATAAATGTTATTATATATGCAAAATATATGTATGAATTTATATACTATATTGTATATATAAACATATAATATATGATGCACTTTTGCGTATGATTTATTTTACGTTGCGTCAAGAAAATGGCTTAGAATAATTTAACAATAGATACGATTTGTAATTGAATTTATTTAAAATCAAATATGACGATAAAACTATTTTTAAATAGAAAAGGAATAAATAGTAATAAATACAATTTCTTGTTCTTATACATTCAATTTAAAAAAAATTTATATAAAAAAATATTTCAAAAATAGAATTGATGTTTAATAATAATAACTATAGCAGTTAATTTTATATTAATAAATATATAAATATATACGCTTACAGTTTATTTTAATAAAAGCAAAAAGTTAGTAAGCTTAAAACAATAAATTAAAAAAATATCAAGTCTGATTTTACTATATAATCAAATTTCAAAACCTATATAGTCGTATGGCGCTGAACTATGGGGCAGCGCTAACCAAAGTAATGTCGAAATAATTCAATGTTTCCAGAACAAGGTTTTACGGAACATTTTTAAATGCCATGGTATATTAAAAATAGCGATATATACCGCTATCTAAAATTGTCAACAGTCGGTGAAGAAATAAAAAAGAAAGCAATATATCACAAACTGAGGTAGTAGCAACATGTAAAGACAGAAGCTGTTAACATCACAACCTCGTATGGACAACCAAGAAGACAAAAACGGTTAAAAGTAGAGTAATTTATTTAGAAAATTTTTTTATTATGTACTTATATTACTGATCAGATACAAGCTACTCGTTGTTTTTAATGTAAAAGGATATTACAAGTTAAGTACTGCGTTGGTTGAGGTGTCTGAAACGCAAGTCTACGCTTCAAAATTGGCAGGAACCCTCTGTTCAAAATTTAGTAGCTGAGCTCTAAAATATATACACGAACAATTTAATCTAAAACATATATCCAAAGACTCAGGTAATTAAAAAATTAAATTAAATAAAAAACAATAGGTTCATAGAATGGTTTTTGAATAGTAATATGAAATTTAATTTCTAATTGAGTTTTTGGTTGACCACATAGGTGTTTTAAGTATTGTCAAATACCCATGGTCTGTCGTCATTTTTTTTTAATAATTGGTTTACGGCATTAACATTATAAAAATAAAACATACATAATTTTTATAACTACCACAATTATTAAAATTTATATAAAATGAACTAATAAATTATAACTCCAACCAAAACACAGCTAAGTATAAAGCAACTGCCGGATATTATAACATTTTTAAAAGCCAAATTGTTTAGTAAAAAAATCTTAATGTACATCTTAATTTGTAATAAACCGTAAGTTTGTAAAAAAATCAAAAATATATACAAATAAATAAAATAAAAATAAAAAAAAAACAGGGAAATGCACGTTAGGTATATCGAGAAACATTTTGAAGGTTAAAAAGTGATTTGAGGCAAGTTTCCAATTTTATATGTAGTCGACATTTGATTGACTGAGATAACCATAATAAGTTCTCGAAGTGACAATATCGCATTACACACAACATTCATATAGAAAGGAAAGGAAGTTGTGTCGAACATTATTATTTGAATACTAATTTCGGAGGTATGAAGAAGAATTTCATATATAAAAAAAAATATTCCAAATTAAGAAGTCAATATAGATATTTTTTTTGTGTCCTAAATTTTGTCCAATTGTCTTAATTTATTGCTTTTTAAATAATGACATGATTAGTTATAAGTGGCACTATCCTTCACAGTTGTTTACTCTGGTGTATAAAATTTGATTGATGTGGTCAGAGAAATATGAAAATAAAAAATAATTTCCACAAAAATGAAATAAATAGTTTATTTATTTACTTTTTAGTTAAACTTACTAATAACAAGCATACATATTTACAGATACTTCATTGAGGTAAAATTTGGTTTATTAGGTGGTTATATTTGGATATTAATATATTGTAATGGCACTAGTTTATAGTACAATAACTACCATTGAATTTTTTGAAAAGACAAAGACATTATATTTTAGAAAAAATAAATACGACAGACTTACCAACACCGCGTTATCAAATCTCAGAATGGTTACAGGCTCCTCGGGGAGGTATGCAGATCTGAGGTCAATTATTGCTTAGTCTGATGAAGTGATAAACAATAATCAGACTGGTTCTTAAAGATAGTTACTTTGAATGCTTATATTTTATGTTCTATTGGATTATTTTTATTTAATTTTCATTAGAATATTCGGAAATAAGCTCAAACTTATTACTACCATTATGAAGTTAACAGAAGAGGTACGAATTCATCAGGGTCGTTTTAGAAGCTCGGTCCACTGGAGTAACTGAAGACGTTGCTTAACAGCATTACTAGTACAAGATTTTTGGACATACAAAACAAAAATTAATCAAAAAGAAATAGTGAAGTACCTTTATTTGCTGTCACAAAGTTTTTAATACAAAAAAGATCTTAAAGATCTTAGAGGTTACCACTCTGGGGCTTGTGACCTAAGGCAGTGCCCGTTCCAACCTGAGTATAGGATCTCCCTCGGTGTCTTTAATAACTAAATAACTTTTTTTTTTTTTAATTTCTGAAGTAAATTTTATTAATCGTAACCTAAGTAAATATAAATGCGAATACATAATTGAGAGTATATAGAAAACTATAAATAAATAATTTAATTAATGATTCTGCTGTTTTGGTGAACATGTGCCATATATTGGCAGTCCATTAAAGCCATTAGCCATCTTCATAATTATGTCAAACACGTTTTAAAGTGTGTGACGTACATTTTAAATTCGCTTTGAGCACCAAAATTTCGAACAATTTGCGTAATAAAAATGTTTGTTTTGTGTCTGTTTTGCTTGTTTGTGTTAAAATTGTGGCAAAAGTTTTGCATAAACTCGAAACTATCAAAACCAAAACGCCGACGAATTTATAGCGAGGAAGTTGGAGTTGTCGTGCTTCACAAAGGGTTTTCAGCACAAAATCCACAAATTCGAAAAAATCGACATAAATTGAGAAAACAGCGTGTAAAATTCTCAACTTTTCACATAAATTACACAGAAACAGTGCAAAAGGTAAATGAACTTTGATCGAATGACACTGCAATTGTGTAATTTTTTAATTTATACAATTTTTTTTTATTTCGATCCCATATAGTCGTCATATTAGTATTAATATGGAAATTAAACAAAAACACTGATTTATTTCGAACAAGCGGAAAATGTGTAATTAAGAATAATTTTTAATATTTTTTTATTATTATTTTTCATGATTTAAATAATTTCTTTGTGTTGCAAATGAGTAGTTTCCATATAAAAATTCAGTTCTGTAAACAAGTTCCACTTTTACATTATAATACATTATAATTATTACATAGTAATTTTACAATTAATTTTTTTTGTTGACTTTAAAATGTTTTTTTTCAACTATTTTTGTACTCTTAATACTACGTGAGTGCAAATCATGAGTTTATAAGACACGTCAACATTTATATATACGTGTAGATGGCGCTCTGCGGACATTTTGAACAACGTAATAGACCTTAACGAACAAAGTAAATTGTTTTCGAGTTCCTTTGACATGAGAAAGCCGATTTAATTGTATTTATTATATACATATATATTTGAAGTAATAATTCAATTTTTACAATCTCTGTTATATGACAAAGGGAATTATATAAACATTATAATCTGATTTTTATAAATAAAAATTGAATGTAATGAAAATTAATTATATGACAGATGAAAAATAGAGCTCTTATATTTTATAGTAAATTTTATATAGCGATATGTTTCGCTGTGTTTATTACAAATAATGGTTTAATGGAGAAGTTTCGAACAGTAGTGAGCTACAATAACAAAAATTATTTTTATGTTATTTTATTTAATTGAATTTTTGGCTGCCCATACAGTTGTTTCGAGTATTGTCAAATATCCATCAGCAGTGGCCTTGGAAATATTTCTTGTATTTAATTATTCGTAAATAATTGTTTAATGTAGTTAAAAATGTAACGTGTTTCTTATTTTTAAGTACTTCTTGAAGTTGTTTTTGTTACTTGCAATGCTCAAGCGACAACTCTAGGAACGACGCCCAGTTCAAAGTCACACAGGACTATACAATATAAT